TCTTTCGAAAGATGGACCTTTCTTCTTCAGGGGCAAACTGAAGAAAGGTCCATCTTTCGAAAGAGCTCAGGTTATAGGGTTTTTATTCATTTCTATCAAGACTTCTTGAATCCACGTGTTTTTCTAACATTATGAATATACTGTCCTTATTTTATGTTGTTTGCTTGTCCTCTATATTGACAAACACAATGCTTAATATCAAGAAGCATTTTATTGGTCAATGATAGATTAGTAGCAAGTGTACACAGTGCAGAGTAGCTTGATCATATCATACTTTTTATTGCGATAAGGAAAAGGGGTAAATAAGAGATTATTCAATTTGGTAAGTTATATAAGAGTTAAGTATTATTAAGTAGAACTTTGTTTTGCTTTTAATGGTAATTAGCTATAGAACAAGAAAAACCAGGCTTTCTGTTGGATAAAATTAACTACTATAGAGTTTTCAAAACAAAACAGAGGTAGGTCTTATTTCTGATTGCAACTTGTTTTGTACCATGGATTGTAGCTCAAATGGACCCTCTAGAATTAATGAGGCAGATGAGAGATGAAGGATATTCTTTAAAACAAAACATCCTTGGTCACCGAATGGATCCAAGTCAGTCTAATCAGGTTTGTATAGAATTTAATTTGTGTGCACACGTGTATCAAATAGAAATGTAAGTCATAATTTATTTTGGACACATTATGCTATTTACTTCATAAACAGAAAAAATGGTATTAGTAAGTATAATTTTTTTATAAAGTAAGACCTGCTTTTGTACTTTCCTTACAATTTCATTTCTCAAGTTCTCTCTTGGATGAGGAATATAAATTGGTGGAAAGTAGAAGGTAGATAAAACAGATTCCAATATCAGATGTATGGAGTGATTAGAAGGAAAACCTTATTATCAATTTGATATTTGCAACTCCTAAACCAGACTTTATAAAGACCATTGAATTAAAAATCTTGATTATGCACTGGTTTGTATAGGACTAAAGCCTTCAGTGATGCTATAGACACTGAGGGAGCAGAGAAAATCCCTTTTCTATTCATTGATCAAGTGAATAATATGAAGGCTACGTCGGCAGTACTTAAAAGGGAAATACCTTCACATAACAGTCTGTTGTTATTTAGCTCTTTCCTTGAACCTGCTTGCAATGAACAATTGCACATTTAGAAAAAGAAGAAAAAAAAACTTGATCTGGGCAGTACTTAAAGGGAAATGTCTTCACATAACAGTCTGTTGTTATTTAGCTCTTGTCTTGAACCTGCTTGCTATGAACAATTGCACATTTAGAAAAAGAAGAAAAAACTAATCGTGGCAGGAATTTAGTTTGAAGGAAGAGAAAACAACATGATAGTTGCCTGCTTTTCCTAACAAGGGTGCTTGGGAATGCTTGTTCCCCTTCAACCCCAGACATGAGAATAATTAGCTACAATGACTATAATCATTTTTAGAAACGTTCATGGGAAGTTTTTGAGAGAAAGCTGTGAATAAGGTTGGAGAATGCAAGATGTTGGTGATCAGCACAAATGTATAAAAGTAATCAAATAATTATAAATTTCTGCCTTTACAAACACACCTCACCACCAAGTGCTCGAGCACATTGATGCTGGGAAAGGAGATTGCTCATCTTCACCCTATGGTTATTTGTAAGAGATCAAGTATCAATTGCTTTGAAAATACAGTGAAATCAAGGAGTGTTTGTAAGCAGCAGTCTCATTTCTGTTCACATTTGTAAAAACACTGGATGATGATGTTTTCTGGGTACAAGTGAATGTAGTGTTGGCATATTGTGATTAGTTTCATGTACTATTACATAGCTCAAAAATGATAATTCTGGGCTGTCAGAGGTATAACCCTTATCTTGAAGATGATGAAGCTGTATTATGAGCAGTCTTCCAGCAGTCTTCTTTGTTAGCCACTGGAAAACAGTGCTTATTCAACTGGCAACCAACATTTTGTATCCAAAATACAAAGATCAGTACTTGAATGAAGATGAGCCATGCATATAATTGTGAAAGTACTAGAACATATTCCAAATGTGGTTCAGTTGGTGTTTCATAAAGTTTCTAAACTTGCTAACTGCGTATTAAGCTTTTCACCAACCATAGCTGTTTGCAAATGCTTTTGGAAGGCATTTAGTAATGTTAAAATATAAAACAAATTGCTTCACAATGGACCAAAGAACTAAACTTGTTAGTATGTAGTATAATTTCTACTTCATCCAAGATTTAGATCTAGACAGTGACAACAGGAAAAAGCAAAATGTAGCAGCTACAACTGAAAGCACTAGAGACTGAAGCCAAGCAAAATCAGGAAGAAGAAATTATTGAGATTGAAAGATTAAGCAAGGATGAAGTCAATGAAGACAGTAAAATTAGGGAGATAGAGTAATAGTTGCTTTTAGTGGTTCAAACTGTTTATTTTTGTTACAGTTGTTCAGACATATTAAAAAGTGCAGTAGTGGGGAATAAAAGGGAAAATAAAATTTATTATTTTTATTTATTTTTGTGTTATGTAATTTTATGTAGGTGTCTAACATAAACGTTATTTATTAGTAGTAATAGTTTTGGTTTTGGCACATTTAATAGCCAAAAAATAAATCCAGATTTGAAAAGAAAAAACTGTGGAATGTTTTTTACAAAATAATTTTCCAGAAAAATTAACATATTTAAGAGTCAAAAACATTCAGGTGAAATTGTTGAGTTTTCCTAAAACATTCTAGACAAATCATTGTTAATTGTTTTTCCTCTATGTATTCGTATTAAACTGTTTTACCTTTTACCTCAACATATTCCGATCAAATAATTGTTGATTATTTTTCCTGAAAACATTTAGATCAAACCACTGTCCATTTTCTCTCAACATGTTCAGATTAAAAACATTCCTCACTTTCTTTCATCATCCATACATTAGTTCTGTACATTTAGGATAAACTTGTGTTTGCACTAGCTCAATATATTTATAATGTTCACTTTAGTTCACCACTTCAGAACAAGCCACTTTCATTTTTCAAGCTAATATAGGATAAATATCCTTTTTTTTTTAGGTGCAGCTTCTTAAGTATGACTTCTTTTTTCTTTTTCTTTAGAAAGCACAATTTTGGGAAACGTCACATTAATGAAAATTGTGTTGCATAATGATTGTTCTTTGTCTTTCTGAAGTTTATAAATCAATAGGTTGGGAATATTTCAAGCTATTGTTATTTCTCAAGCTTTAAACAAATTCACCATTTTCATATATAAATATATATGTACGTATGTTAAATTATCACTTACTTAAATTTTTATTTCTTTGCCAGCAAATGTTAGAAAGTGAAGATGAAGAAGATCCAGAGGTTGCTTTTCTCAAAACTCTGTCCACAAAGCAGAAGAAAAAGCTTCTCAGGTAATTGTTAGCTTAAAGAGAGTTTGTAAGCCTTTTTGTAACAAAATTTATTTGTTTGCTTCTCAGTTTATCTTACAGACCCATTCCATAAATAAAAGATTTTATCATTTCACAACTAGTCGTACCATAATTTCCTTTATTCATTTTTATTCAAGATTTCTAAGTTTAGCAGATGTTGATTTCAAGTTAAATCAGGGTGATTAGTGGTATTTGCTAATCAATTAATTGGTGGACCCATTAATCATTTACATGAGATAATTCAAATAGTTCAGTGTTATGTAAAACTTCCCCTGTGCTAGAAATAAAGTAATTCAAGAACTCTCTAAAAAAACTTTAAGTGAAAAGTAAAATAACTTGTACTGCTAAAATGGAAATTTGATACCTGAAATGGGCAGAGCACAGAGATCCTATTATGTAGCTTTATGCTTGATAACAAACAAACAATGTAAATATTTTGATTACTTGGATAATTGGAATAATCAAAAATAGTAATAATTGGAACAACTAATTTTAATGAGGTGATTATTTTAGTGATAACCAATTTAATCGTAATTTGAATTAATCAATTGTTTGAATAAATGGAAACGGTTATAATCAGTAATTTTGATTAGTTGATTATTTTCCTTGCTGTTGATTAATTGTAATTTAAATTAATATATTGTTTGAATAAGCAGAAACACTAATTTCTATTAACTGATTATTTTCATGACATTAATCGATTTAATATTAATTTCAGTTGATTAGTTTATGTGACACTAATCAATGTAATTGCTACTCATAGGTAACTGATTACATCACTCAGTTCAATATCAAGTTTCTAATTCTTTTCTTGGAATAATTAGCTCCTAATCTTTTGTACTGAATCTTAAGATAGATGACCAATAATGGGGGGAAGGGATTTTTTGGAAATGCCTAAGTTGATAATATATGTATATATACCTCAGGAATTGTATATATTGTTGTAAAAATGAAAATTATTTATTTAAAGCTGATATGCTAGTTTACAATTTACTGTAATCTTTCTAGTTTCATAATGAAATTAGTTTAACTCTTGTGTTGTACAAGGTGCTTACATACAGTTGATTTTGTATAACTTCATGAATGGTTATCTGGCAGGTTTTACTTCATGCTTAGATACTAAATACTTTTTTTTCTGCTACTTCATTTCCTACGTTATACTGAAAACTCCAAAACAAAGCAGCCAACATATTTCAAGAATTAAATTCTTGAAGTACTTAGAACCATATTTTACATGAATGATATTTTAAAACATACATGAACAAAGAATCAAAATGCTGTACTGTGAAAAAGTAATTTAATGTGTCCTCATCAGCTGCAAGCATCGATATATACATCTTGCAGTATTTAAACAAGGATTAATATATACATCTTGCAGTATTTAAACAAGGATTAATATATACATCTTGCAGAATTTAAACATGGATTAATATATACATCTTGCAGTATTTAAACATGGATTAATATATACATCTTGCAGTATTTAAACATGGATTAATATATACATCTTGCAGCATTTAAACATGGATTAATATATACATCTCGCAGTATTGGATTAATATATACATCTTGCAGTATTTAAACAGGCATTAATATATACATCTCGCAGTATTTAAACAGGCATTAATATATACATCTCGCAGTATTTAAACAGGCGTTAATATATACACCTCACAGTATTTAAACAGGTGTTAATATATATACATCTCACAGTATCTAAACAGACGTTAATATATATACATCTCACAGTATCTAAACAGACGTTAATATATACCTCACCATATCTAAACAGGCGTTAATATATATACATCTCACAGTATTTAAACAGGCGTTAATATATATACATCTCACAGTATTTAAACAGGCATTAATATATACACCTTGCAGTATTTAAACAGGTGTTAATATATACACCTTGCGGTATTTAAACAGGCGTTAATATATACACCTCACAGTATTTAAACAGGTGTTAATATATATACATCTCACAGTATCTAAACAGGCATTAATATATATATATACATCTCACAGTATTTAAACAGGCATTAATATATACATCTCGCAGCATTTAACCTTAATGAAGTATGAAATCTTCCAAGTATTATTGCATTTTTGAGAAGGAATTATTTCGACATTTTTTTTTTCTATTTCAATTCTAGTGTATGATGATAGTACATATATCTGTACATAATAGTACAAAATTCTGGGAACCCAGAATGTATGCCTTCCTTCTTCTGAGGTAAATATAGAAGGTTTCCTTTCGGGTTATCAAGTTTCTTGTTTTTTCTGTTTTATCTATCTTTTGATTTTCCATAATTTCCTACTTTAAAAAAGAAAAAACAGTTACTTCAGAAATGGGAAATTCAGAAAACTCCTCATGGTTACATGTGTTTCCTACCAAAAACCTTCATAGTTATATGTATTAACTACTGGAAACCCTCGTGGTTTCCTATTAAAAGCCCTCATAGTTGTATGTGTTTCTTGATTGTTGCTAGGCTTTTTAGAGTTTTTCTAAAACATCTGTAGCATATTTTGTTTTAGGAAACAAAATGCATACAGTGTTTAATAAGATTAGCTATTTTATAAGTTTGCTAGTAGGATTTGCAAGTGTTTGCAACACATGTGAATTTCAGGAAAAATAAAGACATAGAGGTTGTTCATTAGTATGATTTGATAACTGAAACATCTGAATAAGAAACTTGTACTTGAAAAAGAACATGATTTGATTGAAAGTAGAACTGCGTAAAAAAAAACAACAACATAATAATAATATAAGTTGCTGAAGTGGACAAAAGTCTTAAAACAGTATAAAAATATATAACTTTTATGTCTAAAAACTTAAATTTAAAATTGAAAGTAGACTGTTGAAAATTTTCAAACAGATTCTTGTGGTAGTAGTGGACAGCTTATAAAGAAAATCTGGTCATTGTTCTATTTGCTTCTGAATTTTTAATATACTTTATTTTCGTTATAGAAAACTGAACAAGCTTGCTGAAAAACATGAACAGGAAAAGAAGAAGAAAAAATCAAAAAAGAAAAAAAGCCATAAAAAGTTATCTGATTGTTCAGACTCAGGTTAGTTATTGGGCTCTTAAAAGTTATGTGATAAAAAAAAAAAAAAAAGTAGACATTACTAAAAGACAATCTTAAGTTCTACATTGCATTCAACACAGATTTGACTAATATATAAAAGACTTGATAAGCAGTTAATAGCTTAAAATTTCACACTTATATATAAAAAATATTATTTTTCTTCTTTTATAATTATTGGATCAGTAAGGTATGAAATTACAAGGTTTCAGTGCTTTCATCCATCAACCATACTTACTTCAAAGGAATTACATAATGTTTTGTTAAATGTATTTCAGCAAAGAAATGAAATGGTACTTATTCCTCAAAGGAACTCCAGCATTTAGTATCAGTATATCCAGCAAAAGTACAGAGATAATATGAAACGTTAACTTTCTGTATGGAAGCTACAGGTGTAAACAATTAAATGTAGTACTTAAGATTTTACTTTCTGCTTAATAATGAACCTCTGAGCTAATTTTTTTATTTTTAGTAACAAAATAGTATTGACTTGAGATCAGGAAAAGTTAAAATAAGATATAGGGATCTGTAGAGCTTGATCTGAAGAGTATATAGCTGTGGCTTTTTCTGGGGATAGAGTGGTTGTAGAGCCTTTCTATTTCTCAAAGTTAACCACTTCCTTCCTTCACTCTGGTCATGGGTATACATATCTTTCAATGATTCTATGAACATACCTTGTCTGTAAGTGAATGTGCTTCTCTTCAGCCATTTGGCATTTTTATTAGCTCCGATAGATATCCTTTTTGGAGCTTTTTTTATTTTTTTTTCTGTAAGTGCAACCATGTAAGTTACACTGATAGCACAACAAGCATTTTGATACCTTAAGTGAGAAACAAAGCTCTGAATCTGATGTTTCTGACATCTGTTCTCCAAGATGTGTACAATCTTGACAGAAGATTTGTTGGTTGTCCGTATAGTTACCAATGATTATTGGCTTTGTGAGAATCTTTATAGATATTGTATTACAATAATACCATGAACTCAGAAAACGTTTAGTTGAAAATGTCTCCATCTACTAAGAAAAGAAAATTGTATCAACTTCAGCTTTTTTTTTTGTTTTTGAGTTGATTATTGCTTTATGAATTGCACTTTATGAATTTTCAGTTATGTTAATTGCTGATGTAAAGCATTAGACTTAGTCTTAAGGATTGTAATGTGTAGATCAGAATACTGTGTGCCCAAAAATCTGAATGTAGTTATATTTATGTCATCAGGATTACAGGTCAAGAGTTTGTCTGTGATATTACTCATAGTCAGGGGTGGTGCATATAACAGGCTTTGGGTAGGCTTAGCATTCCCAATGAACTGCCCCTCATGGGTATTTTTATCACCAATTCAAAAAATATTATATAGTATTTGTGGAGAAAGAAATCAAAAGAGGACGTATGTGAGTCACTAAAGAGAGTTTATTCATTTAGCAGCATGAATTGATACTTCCCAATTGTCCAACTCCCACAAGTGATAGAACAGCCTACCCAAACAAGATACCCACTTGCCACCTATGTTCACAGTGAAAGAAAACTTTTGTTTTTGAATCTACAAGAGTAAACCATTTAGTGTATTTTATTTAAACTGTATTGTTATACATGCTTGCAAAAGTCAATGTATTTACCTTGAGTTTGAGGAAAACCATCAATATCTCTCCATTTGTGTTACCTCACAGGTCGCTTGCTAAAGTGGCTTTCTACTGTATATTAGTGTCAACATTAATAACCTATTTGTTTCCCTTTATAATGCTAGAAGTGCCAACTATATACATATACTTCTGTAGCTAATTAGTCATTCTCACACTAATATCAAGTTGCACAAGTTTGTTTGATCTTGTCTATAATTTAGGGTTTTTACTTAATGTTTTTACATATTTATGTGATTGAAGTAACTAGGAGGCTTGTTTTTCTATATGTGTGTGAATATTTATTCTTTTTTCATAATTCTCCTTTACTTGCATCCAGCACACAACTTTTGAACTATGCTAACAGGTTCAACTTGATTATGTGTTCTGTATTTGTGAGTTAGTAGAACACTGGTTTTAACCTTATAGTAGGCACTTATAATACATAGGTATGTGTGGTGAGTTTGTTGTATTGGTAGTGTTGGCTAGTTTGTTCTATTACATGTTGAAGAAAGAAAAGCTTAAACCTAGACATAAACTTTATTCTAAAATAAAAATGTAAAGGAAATAGAAAACAGTATCTGAATATATATACCTTACCTTGATATTCGTTAAGTTTCAAATAAGTATTTATTAGATTAAAATATCTTAGTATAATGTTCATTATCATAAAGCTCTATAAACAATATGGCCACATCCACACTCTTTTAAACTTCTCTCTTTAGTGTGACTTACATTTATGATACAGCACACAAAGAGTAACTTGTACATACCTTTTTTAATAATATATCTTTAATACTTAGAATTTTCGGAAGAGGCCTGGAAATAATGATGTTCTTTAAAGAATGTTAATGGTTCTTTTTCCTATAAAATTACAAAAATCCAGTTTTAAATCATTTATTTATTTTAGAAGTTTGTTTATATCTATAAATGTCATATAAAATCAGTTTTAAGTTATTACACAACAATAATCAATCATTTACTCTTATTACTTGTTATGTTATTTGTATTTATAATTGCAGCAAGAAAAACCAAGTGCATATAATTATAAAATTAAAAGCTCAAGTAAATTTAGATTGTAAATTGTTTACTAAGCCTCCATGAAAAAAAAAGATGTTAATACATATTTCTATAGTTTGTTTGACTGTATGTAATAATTTATATTCGCTCTTAAAGACTCTGTCCTTGGCCCATCATCTTTATACTTACTGTAATTGTTTATTTAAGGCACATTTGTCATTGTAGTTCTTTTTCGTTTTAGAGACGAATTCTGTATTGATGCTCCAAATCAACCTTGAGATGCTGACTGATTGTCTGAACATTTGTATCAATTTTAGAAAATGGTTTCAGCCTCATTGTACACTTTTTTCCTAATGTTAAGTAACAACTGTAAAAATACATAAAAGTCCAAAATGGTGCAAGATTTAATAACCAAAGTTGAACCATAAATACATTTATATATTTACAACACGTAACAAAATATATGTAAAGCAGGTCCCATCAAAACATATAAATTACACATGGATTCTGACTTATTTATTTTAATTTTGACTTTGGTACAATAACCTGGTAAAGGTCATTTGCACAAAATATGTAGCAGTCAATATATGGAAGATTCCCTAAGGTGGAGAGCTGTGGTAGACTTGAATCTGGGCAGTCACAGGCAAAGGTAGCGGTTGCACATTCTATGTTCCTTCCAGACGACTGTATACTATAAGATACATTGTAGGTTGAATCTTAACTCATAAAAAAATAACATGGCTCCACTGATATGGCACCCAAGAGACATGTTTACGACAACATTTCAAATTCTCTGTTTGAGTTGTTTTACATAGCAACCTCCTGTGTATTACTGAAGCCATGCAAAGATCCAGAGACAATCTGGTTGGTGTAGAGGATGTTTTATTGAGTCAAAAGTGACATAACAGTTCTCTGCTGGGGTGGTAACCTGTGATTGACCTTGTATTGGTCTTTGAGCAATATCTACAAACATTTGGAATTGTGTTCATAGATGAGAAACAACACTTCTAGTGAAAAAGAAAAGTTTAACATATATATATCCTTGTGTTTATATTTAACCATTCTAAGGAACATAGAATGTGCAACCAGCCTATACACATCATAAGAAGGGATTCTAATGGTGGTGGTGATTTTGATGGTTTGAGCAGGAACTTGCATGGATGTATGTATAAACCTCTACGTGTTTGAGGGTGGTACTGTAACTCATCAGAGATATAGGGATGAGATCTTGGATCTCTATATTTGACCATATACAGGTGCAATATGAGAACTTACTTTTAACCCATTTGTGATGGGCTTGGTATAATATACATGAGTTCGTATACACATTTGTACACGTTAAGTATTTATACTATAACTTTTAATGCAGTAAGTGAATCTTCACAAAATGTGGCAGACTGTTAGTAAAAATTACAGGTCTTTCATAGTATGCATAAAAAATCTGATTTTTTAATAAAGTATTTTTATTATAGATTTGTTTGTGAAAATATTGAGTCTGTTTTCATACCAGTCCAGGTGCAAAGCGATTTTCATGTTATAACTAAAAAAACTATTGTTCATCCCCAAAATCTCAAATATTGTTTGTGTAATCTCGAAAACCTCCTAAGTACATTTCAAATGTTTGT